GTTGTTATTTTATAGATACAAGTATTTAAGCAAATGCTCTGTTTATGATAAACAGTATTAAATAACATTTACCGGCCTGAATGTCCGAGAAATTTTCATAGAAAATATTCGTTCATAGACAGGATTCGAACCTGCATCCTATACGGAACCGTCATATACGCTGACGTGCCTTGACCACTCGGCCAATCTCATATGAATATGACGTCATTTGTTTACATTCGATACGCCAGAGCAGTTATGAATGTACGAGATTCATGGAAGATTGTAGTTTATAACAGTAAATTCGACCTTGTCTACCATAAGGTTCATGGTGGCCGAGTGGTCAAGGCACGTCAGCGTATATGACGGTTCCGTATAGGATGCAGGTTCGAATCCTGTCTATGAACGAATATTTTCTATGAAAATTTCTCGGACATTCAGGCCGGTAAATGTTATTTAATACTGTTTATCATAAACAGAGCATTTGCTTAAATACTTGTATCTATAAAATAACAACGTTAAACATAAATAAAAATGTCTTTAATAAATAAATTGTCGGACCTCGTCCATTTCTTAACATATATATATATATATATATGCCTTAAAATTCATACCACGGCTTGACCCGCCTTATGATTGAAATTGGGTAGACGGAAACTCTCGATAGGTGTGCGAGCACGAACTCACAAGTCATCATGAGCGAGGGTTTGAGTGTGCTGGCGTTGATCAGATCGTTGATCATGCTAGATAATACCCTCTCTGCCAGAAACTGTAACTAAGGTCTGCTTTGCATACTTGCAGCAAAAACCACATAAATATGGCACACCTTAATACCTTAATTCTTATATATATATATATATATATATATATATATATATAAAAGAAATATAATCTTAAGATGTGCTATATTTATGGGATAAAGTGCCCAATATCAGAGATATAGCGTATGTAAATATAAAAGTGAACATAGAAGTCAAGACTTACAGGCGGCAGTGTGTTTCATGCTTTTTATCTAGCATGGAAAAGACTGTCGCCTCTAAGTGTTGACTTCACTTTTATATATATATATATATATATATATTCGTTCACTGTTTTGTACAGAGGTAGGTTCGCTCACCATTTGCGTTCTATTAGAAGCGGTTTAAATTAAGTTACATCCACAGTCTCTGTAGAGAGAAAAAAAGCATTTTGTTCACTCTCTCGTGTTTTCCTTTAGAATCATTTACATTAACCACGTTGCTCATATTCCTCGCCTTTTTTTTTCTTTTATTACTAAATTTTTATTTTAGTCGTGTTTCCTTTTTTTGTTCTTACATTTTCTCGCACTGCAAATTGTTGCGTTTTCTTCGTCTGTGTATGCGTTGGTCGAAAAGGAAGAAGAATTCTTTCCTTCGTTTGGAAATATATATATATATATATATATATATATATATATATATATATTTTGTATTTTGGGCAGCAGTCCCTCTTTTCTACAAGTTTCGTTAAAGACGACTGGCAAGTTAAATGCGATTAAGCTTTTTATTTTATTTTCCTTGTGTTCATAGAAGTGTTTACTTTCTGTACACAAAGTATATAAAAAATGATCAAAAGTTCTGCATATTTTACATGGTCTCTTTACATTATATATATATATATATATATATATATATATATATATATATATATATATATATATATATATATATATATATATATATTTACTCGGATACCATATTAGATACACATATCGTAAGTGTTCGGGTTCAATTCTCGGTAGCGGGAAGCGCACTTGCTGATGAGTCCCAAATCGGCCGTCCAGTGCATTCTGTTGAGATTTTTTCGAGACTCAATTAATTAATTGTACCTATGTTCTGTTTTTCGGTAGCAATTCCTCTTTTATACATGTTTCGGTAAAGATGACTGTGAAGGAAGTATGATTCAGCATTGTATTTAACTTTTTCTTGTGTTCGTAAAACTGCATTGTGTGTAAAAACTGCATATCCGAGCTTCTTTTGGATATACTTTTAGCCATTTTTATTAGCGATCTTTATTTTTTATTTTTTTTTTTTATTAGCGATCTTTATTTTTTATTTTTTTTTTTTATTAGCGATCTTTATTTTTTATTTTTATTTTTTTATTAGCGATCATTATTTTTTATTTTTAAATGAATGTGTTCTATGTGACTGAACTTATAGGTATGTTTTATTTTCCAAACACGGTCAGCATAGTGTGTCAATGTTCGTAGTAATGTTACAGCGTGTTGGCTTTTACCATCATTGACGTTATACTGCATTAAATCCCAGCTAATTTCGCGATAAAAATCTACTGAGGCAAGAAATCCCATTCTTTTAACCACTTTTTGAAACAAGTAACACTGACTTATTTTTTGTTTTCGTGTTTCTATGATCTAATAACATATATTGAACTTATTTTATTTTTTTTTTTCGTTAGATTCGGGTTCACTCATTTCCGTCTCGAATACGTTATTTACTCGGATACCATATTAGATATATAATTTTTTTATGCCATGGTTGTTCGCGATGATTTAATTGTTTAGTATTTTTTTTTCACCGCGGGAATCGATATAAATATTGCAACTCGATTTACTTGTAATTTTGCAATCTGAAATTGCATTCATTTGAATCAAATTTAAATTAAATTCAGAGATTTAATTAAGTTTTCTAACAATTTGAAAATTAATTTGATTTTTACTTCCGGTAAATTATTTTCATAGTATTGAGAACTTATGTAGGGTTTTCGAAAGAACACACACACACACACACACACACACACACATGTACACACACAGACATATATATATATATATATATATATATATATATATATATATATATATATATATTCAGTAAACTAAACTATACGTATATATATATATATATATATATACACAGAAAACTAAAGGAAACTATATATATATATATATATATATATATATATATATATATATATATACACCGACACGTACACATACAGAAGCACATACAGGCACGCACATATATATATAGAGAGAGTAAACTAAATTAAACTATATATATATATATATATATATATATATATATATATATATATATATATATATATATATATAGTCGACTCTCCCGTCGAATTCGACGTATTAAGGTCAAGCAGATCAGTTCCCAGGAAACAGACAGCCCGACAACAGCACATGAGATTTGATTATAGTGGTGAAGGTTTCGTGCAGGAACATGCACTCTTTTTGAAAGGCCAAATACAGAGACATGGTGCACTGTGCCACAAGGTCCCCAAACAACCCTCCGTAGGTTTTGAATTCAGAGTTGTCCTTCTCCAAAACCAGTTGCCATCCAAGGCTATAGAACCCAGTCTGCCCTGCTATTTACCCATAGCTGGAGGGAGAAGAAGAGGATTCACATTTTTCACAAGGGTATTAGGACGTAAATGGATTCGACTGGAATTCGAACTCGGCTCTCCGATTCCTCAATCCAAGCCGCTGACCACCCTGTCTCTCTCTCTCTCTCTCTCTCTCTCTATATATATATATATATATATATATATATATAAATATATATATGTATGTATAGAGAGATAGATAGAAAGATAGATATATATATATATATATATATATATATATATATATATATATATATATATATATATAGTTTTAAGGTTTGCCATATTTATGGGATAAAGATCGAGATAGAGCGTATGTAAATATAAATATAAAAGTGAACAGTGAAGTCAACATTCTGAGGCGACAAGGTGTGTCATGCTGGACGCAATCATCAGGCCGCCGATTGCGTCCAGCATGAAACAACCTGTCACCTCTGAGTGTTGACTTAAATGTTCACTTTCATATATATATATATATATATATATATATATATATATATATATATATATAAAGGGTGTTTCATTAAGACGGATCAAAGTCAGCAGTAAATAAACCAGTGTTATTGCTGAAGATTTATTTATTTCTCTATTAGATCATGTTATTTAAGTCATGGCACTTATGTGCGAAAAATAATATCGTGCAAATGTCCGTCAAGGCTTCGGCGGCACACCTCCACTCGATGGTCAACATTTTTGATGACGTCTCTGCATAGTTGCTGCTCGATCTCACCAATATGCCTTATTATCTCATCATTCAGCTGTTGAATTTTTTGTTGGCTTTTGGCATAGATCTTACTTTTGAGATGACCCCAAAGGAAGAAATCTAAAGGCGTGAAGTCGCAAGATCTTTGTGGCCAATTGACGTCACTGTTTCGAGAGATGATGCGATCTGGGAAATTTTCATTGCATTTCTGTTTGAATGTTCATTTTCGTAATAGACTTCGATAACTTTAACACGTTGTTTGATTGTTAATCTTTCCATGGTTGGAATTGCCAAAGACGTAAGTTGTTAAATCTGAATGAAAAAGATAAAAAAAAAATCATTAGACGCTTAAAATTAATTCACATTTAAAACCGGTCCAAGTTACTGGAACACCATTCATATATATATATATATATATATATATATATATATATATATATATATTAATATACGTTTTTTTTTACACTTTCTTTTAGCCATTGGACACAGAATTTCATTTTGGCAAACGAGACTTTATGAGGGAAGAACGAAAACTGGACAGCCGTTTTTTATTCTTTCTTTGTGTTGCCATTTAGCGGTTGTTTTTTTTTTTTTTTTTCTCTTTGTCCATTTTCATCTTCTTCTTTTTAAATACGTCTGTTTCTATAGCATTTTACAGCATTGGGTTATTAAACCCGACTGTAAAAATGCAATACGGAATGTAGCCTTGTGTCAAACTAAGTTATAAAATGTCGCGGGTAGACTTTAGAATTATAGCTTTGAAAAATAGCCAAGATTTCTTTTAATATAGCGAGATAAAATATCAACAAATCATATAGTAAATCGATAGGCCATCTCTGAGAACAGACAAGAGAAGATCTTTTTTTATTGGATGGTCTTAGTTGGGTACAAGGTCAAGAATAATAAAATCAGTAAGATGTGACCGACATGATTAACCTAGTTACAATCAGACAGAGAGAGAGAGAGAGAGAGAGAGAGAGAGAGATTGAGAGAAAAAGAATAATAGGATACACATTGATGTAGATAGATAGATAACGAATCGACTGAGAATGATATATAGATTGATAGATAGATAGATAGTGAATATATTGGTGCAGATAGATAGATAGATAGATAGATAGTGAATATATTGATGCAGATAGATAGATAGATAGATAGATAGATAGATAGATAGATAGATAATGAACACATTCAGGCAAATAGATAGATAGATAGATAGATAGATAGATAGATAGGGAATATATTGATGCAGATAGATAGATAGATAGATAGATAGATAGATAGATAGATAGATAAATAGATAGATAATGAACACATTCAGGCAAATAGGTAGATAGATAGATAGATAGATAGATAGATAGATAGATAGATAGATAGTGAACACATTCAGGCAAATAGATAGATAGATAGATAGATAGATAGATAGATAGATAGATAGATAGATAGATATGAAAAGGCTAAGATAGATATATATAGAGAGATAGATTATTATTGTCGAGTATGAATATGAATATTTATAATGATGTAGTTGTGGCAGGAAACAAATTATTGCAAATGCTTCCAATGAGAGTAAAGAGATCATGTTGCGCCAAATTCCAGTTTGATTCAAGTATATAACGTGATTCAAGAATATTGATTTTAAATCGTGGCCCAACCTCAGTTTAGAGGTGTTTATACCAGCAATACATTTTTGTAAAAAATTATTACCAGCAATGAAATTTAAAGAAAAAGATAATTAACAACAATGCATTATTACCAGCAATACATTTTTGGAAAACATATTACCAGCAATAAAATTCTTGTCGGCATTAAATAACTCATTGAGATTGATATGTTCTAAAACAAAAACCAAGCGAAACCTAAGTTCATTTATCCTGTTTCTTGTTTTTAAAACGATTATAATCGATTGTCACAACAATTTTTTTTTTATTTTGTTTTATTTCGGCGTTCCCACATTTGCTTGAATCAATTTCAAGATATTTAAATGTGATGTCATTTACAACAGTAAAACAGCCTTTTTCGTATATTGAAGTGTGTATAAAAATCAGGCTGGGGCAGATAGAAAGAAAGAAAGAAAGAAAGAAAGAAAGATAATATCTTGAAATAGATAGATAGATAGATAGGTAGATAGATAGATAGATATCTTGAAATAGATAGATATATAGATAGGTAGATAGAAAGAAAAATAGATAGATAGATAGATAGATAGATAATATATTGATGTAGATAGATAGATAGATAATATCTTGAAATAGATAGATAGATAGATAATATATTGATGCAGATAGATAGATAGATAGATAATAATAGATTGATGAAATAAATAGATAGATAGATAATGAATATATTGATGCAGATAGATAGATAGATAGATAGATAGATAGATAGATAGATAGAACAATCTTTCCGATCTTGAATATGAATATGTATTTATGGAAATCTTTCCTGGATTTTCCAGCCTAATTGTCTCTTCATCTCAACCTTTTAACACGTCTGAATTTTAATATGCGCCCGTCTAAATACGTTCGCTTTCTTACGTCCAAGACTGTCTCATCAAAACGTGCAACATAACGCCTCGGTAGGCCAACTGTTTCCCTGTACGAACACGTCCATTTCTAGTTGAGTTTCTAGCAGACATAAATACAACCCTTCCTGATGATTTACCTTCTGCAATATTTTTTCTAATCGGGGTTCATCTCCAAAGGCCATAATAAATCCAGTCGCGTAGCTAAGGAAGGGTGCTAGGGGGGCTGGGGTGGCGGACCGCCCCGGGTGCCAGCACAGGAGAGGTGACATAATGTCACCCCCAACAAAATTTTTCAACCAGGCTAAGGTGCCAAAAATAGTCTGAAAACAGTGGTAGAGACACAGTGTCTTGCAGGCTGGCATATGACCCCCAAAAATAATTTATGACCCCCTAGTTTTGTCCCCCGTCAGAAATTTTCTAATAAATTGTCAGGAAATTTGTGAGTAGGAAAAATAGCAATGTTTTCAGCTTTTGATTTGAACTGATTATTTTGTGGTATTGGATTTTGTCTTGGATCATACATGTAAACAGTAACGTACCGGTCAGTAGAGTAAAGTAGAGGTAGAGCATGTATGAAAATTTAGCTACAGCTAACCATTCAGCATAGGGTGAATCGGGGTCATTGGGGTGACATTTGAGATCACCGCCCCGGGTGACGTTTACTCTAGCTATGCCACTGAATACATCTGTGTGCCACGTTTCTTGAGGACATAAGCTATCATGGCTCTGCAAATTTTACTCTACCTTGTAGCTTTTAGCATTTTGTCGCTGTCAAACGTTCACACTATGTTACTTGTCCTCAATTGTGAGGGCTCAGGTTTTTTTGGATTTTTTTTAAGCTTTCGTTCCATTTTATTCGTCCAAGAAATTTCAGCTGTCATTTGCAGTGAATTTTTTTTTTTTTTTACCATTTTCTTTAAAACGTACTTGTTACTTATTCGCTCCGTTTAAGGAAACACAGAAACACAGAAACCAATTTTATAGCAACATACCCTGTCTTTTCTTAATCACTGCGATGAAAGTGGATGGATTTTGTTTCGGAGACTGTTTGACTCCAGAAGCTTTTACATCATTTTGGCTGTAATATTCATTAATAGTTATTAGCCTTATCTGACACCTGACGAAACTTCCAGCATACATCTATAAACTATTCATTTTCAAAGACTATAGTGAAGATATAAGGAAAACAAGAAAGCTTCAACTGACGCCATTATAACAATGATTAAACTGGCTCCTTCTTTATCCCATATCCAGCATATGTCCGTCTAATTTTCATTTTCAAATCTTATAGATGTTAATTACAGTTAAGATATAAGGGGAAGAGAAGGATTCAGTTTAAACTGACGCCAGTATGATATGGGATACATTGAGGTCTTCTTCCATTACGTATACTGCGCCTATTCTACTTAAAATTCGTATCTCCTTCATTCCGGGTAAGAACGTGGAAATCTACCAAAAATATTTCTATTACATTTTCACTTTCCAAAATTAATGTTCATAGAAAAACACGATTTTTGATGCCTGTAATGTAATCCATTCTGGCCTGACATCTCGGATCTAGTCATATTCTTAATGACGTGACGTTGCTTCTGTCTGTCTTTTCTACAAATATTTTCATGGCAAATGATTTGATCGGCTTTTTCGCTGGTTTCCCGATCATATACTACTTGAGTGGCAATTAGGTCTCACCGTTTTCCTGTTGAACTAGCTGAATGCAATCGCCACTTCTACTCTAACAGTTTCTTCTCGCACCTCCAACCCGATATCTTACTTCTCTGATAATAAGAATTTTCAAAAATGAACAGCAAGATCACCCGCCTTCTTCTGTCTCCTTGAACATTGATCCTTTTTTCATCATTTACTCAGGCCCCACCTTCCGTTTCAGTCCTTTCCTTCTCTTCCAATGTCACTCTCTGTATCCCTACGTTTTAGTGACATTGTCTACATTCTTAGGGCGAAAGGGTAAAAAAAAACATATCAATTCAGTATTTAATCTCCTTCAATGTACCTTCCCTTCTGAAGAATTTCTCCATCTTCATTTCCATTGAGAGAAGCACTCTTGGAACTCTTTTTTCGAAGAGTGAGCAGTTGCCTCGTTGCATTCTGTTGATTTGCACTATGTCTTGAAATCTTGTTTCTTTCAAGTGGGATTTGATTTTTGGAAAGAGGAAAAGGTCACAGGGCGTGGAATTTCAGAAATATGGTGGTTGTCCGACCTCGAGAAGGTTATACTTGGACCAAAACTGCTTCACATGACATAGTCGCTGCTGGTAGGGTGAGACGACCACACTCTACAAACATTCCTTCCAGGCACTGTTATAAACAAAGCAAGGACGTTATTATTTAGTGTGTAGACATGGCATTCCTCAAGATCAAGCTGTAACAAGCGGCTTCCCTTTGCATGTATTATCTCCGTTGCTATATATATATATATATATATATATATATATATATATATATATGTGTGTGTGTGTGTGTGTGTGTGTGTGTGTGTGTATAGGTATAATCATTTATTCGAAAATTATAACATTATATATATATATATATATATAAATATATATATATATATATACATACAAATTTACAATTCATCTATGCATTGAATACTGTTGCCATATATGGTGTGATGCCCCCGCTGTTCATCTCGAGGTTTTCGACAAAATACAAAGACGGATATGCATTATGATAGGTCCTGACCTGGCATCTCGACTCCATTCACTTTCTCGCAGGCGTGATGTGGCTTCCCTCTGTCTTTTCTACAAATATTTTCATAGCACATGCTCTGACGTGTTATTTTCACTGGTACTACGACAGCACGAATTTAAGCGTCCTACTAGGTTGGCATCTGGGACCCACCCTTTCACTGTCGAAACGGTTAAATGTAGTCGTCTCTTCTACTCCAACAGCTTCTTTTCTCGCACTTCCCATCCATGGAATTTCCTTCCTCTTACGTGCTTCCCTGATAACTATAATCTTCAAACATTTAGATGTAATGCCACTCGACATCTTCTGATGCCTTGATCTTTATCCCCGTCCTTCTCGCGTCCTGGGTAAGACGATAAACTTCATCCAGCAGCAAGGCCTCTGATCAGGTTTTGAGGAGCGTGAACCACCTCTTAATTGAATGTGTTCCCAGGCCCATGCCTTAAAACAAAAACCAAACCCGTCCTTCTCTTTATCCTTTCTTCAAACACCCCTCTTTACTCTTTCACTCTCTGTCATCCTTGCGTGCTAGTGGAACTGCTGCTTTTGCAGGGTGGAATGCTTAATATATATATATATATATATATATATATATATATATATATATTATATATTAAACGTTTATAAATACAAGTGTTGTCTATTTATTTTATGCAAATTCTTTTCATAGCATCTGATAAGTTTAATAACATTATCATTGAACGAAGAAAGAAATTCACAACATTGATCCATATTTTTTAATACAATCTAAGCTTTCGGCTTACATAAGCCATTATCAAATTTGTCAATTACAATATATTAAGCAATATACGGACAAGACAGTGATGATAGTCTGTCATTGTTTACATAGATGTTTTCTAAGCAACGATAAACACGTGCATATAAGACGCTAGAAGCGAAAATCGCACCGCATCTCATGACGTCCCACATGGCCACGCGAGAGTGAATTCGAGAAATATTAAGTATGGGATGCCGTTATAGACATTTAAGAATATTTGTAGAGATGCTATAATTGATTTTGTTTAGGTTGGGTTTCAACTGTTTGATGTATAATACTTCAAGGATTTTTAGTTTTTGTCTATTGTTTTCATGTCGAAGTATAATTGTGTTTTCGACAAGTATTTTACGGAATTGTGTGTGCGGACCGGACAGGCATGTTGTTTTAAATGCCTAAAAATGTTAGTTATCATTCAAATGTAGTGTCAAGCATTTGTTTGTGGTGTGACCAACATAAATATTATTTAATTCGTTGGAGATACAATCTCCCAAAGGGAACTTGAATTTATAAACTATGTTTTTTTTTTGCAATTCGCTAACCGGGGGAGAAAAATCATTGCAAATAATTGTTGGAT